ATCAAAAATACAAAGAAAATGATTGAAATTTTCTGTTTAAAATTGAAATTTTGAATATTATTTCGACTGTAACAAAAAAAAATATACAATTTTGTAATATACAGTTACAAAAATGAAATGAAAAATATCTGTAAAAATTATAAACTTTTGCTTTCAAAAAGAATATTTTTATTAAATTAATTTATTGTCACCTTCATTTTTAATAATTTTAAAACTATCCGAATAATTTAATAATTTAATAATCAACTTTATAAAAAAAAAATCTATAATTTTCATTACGAAACAAAACATTTTACAATTTTAATACAACTCAAAATCTATTGAAACAAATTAATAATCAAATTGGTATTTCACGAAAAAGAAGCTTCAATGTAATTAATCTTTTTTATAATTGAAAAAAAATATATATAAATTCCATTGATCATTCCAAACTATTGAAGTAGTGAAATTTGCTTACAACAAAAAAATTGTAGTGTCACCGTTCGTTAATTAATTTTAATTAACTTTGGGTTTTAAAAAAAAAATATATGTATGTTTGATCTTTCGTTTATGTGTATTTTTTTATTCATGTAAATACGCCTCTGGCACAACGTGGATTACACACGTTGAGGTCATTGGAACGCCATTAAAAAAAAAAGCGAACTAATAATAGTAGAGACAACAACTAAACAACAAGCAGCAGACACATCCATCAAAATTAATATTATTATTACGATGGAAGAAAAAAAATGATCTGCCGTTCTTTCTCTACGTATTATATATAAATACACTTGTGTTTTTTTCTTTCTTCTTCTACACTAAATATATAATGCACGGTTTTAATGGCAGTAGTTTTAGTTTTAAGTGGGCTTTGGTACATAATGGTATGAAATCGCTCGAATTCAGGGATAATCGATGGACCCGTGTTTTATGGACTTCGAAAAAGCGCCCCCGAATATAATTTTTTTCTATATTATCGTTATTTTCATCCCTTTTCCTCACCGCGCTTCACCCTTTCGACTGCTGTCAAATTACACTTAATATCTCTTCATTATTATTACACGGTGTGCAGAACGTTTACCGTTTTTTTTTTTTGTTTGTCCCGTTTTGTGGCCGACGCCCGGCGCACTACAATTTAGCGAAATTAACCCCGGAAACAATTATCCTTTTTCGTTCCCTTCGAAAGGACTAACCGTAACTATTTTAAACGGTGCGCATTATACGCCGAAAACGTTATTATTAAGCGTAATTTTATTGCTCCGATACCATTTTTATGTGTATACCGATTGGCGGCGATTCACTCCTACCGAAAAACAATAAAAAAATAAAATAAAATTGGAAACCCCAATTGAAAATGTTTATGTTTACCGAAAAACCTAAGAAAATTGGGATCATTATTATATCTTTTTTTTTGTTGTTGATCTATTTATATGTTACAATCCGAGAGTCGAACCGAAATTTATTTCGTTGCGGTTTACGGTTACGTTCCAACTAAATGATTATCGTTCCACATTCGGTTTCGGTTCAGTTTCAGTTAATTTAAAATCGAAAAAAAAGCAATTTAAATTGTTTAGTTAAAATTTAAAATCGAGTCCAATTTCAAATCGAAATTTACAAAATTCCTTTACTATTTTTTCAATTATAAAATTGAAAATACAAAAGAAATAAAAATAAATTAGTTACTAGTTCAACACATGCACTTTGTAATGTTTTTTTCAGTCATGTTTACAGTAATATCCTTTTATAGTCACTTTCAGTTGAGTTTGTTCTAATGTTACTTGCGCAAGACTTGTACTTGCCTTTTCTTCTTCAAATTTTCTCGTTTTAGTCGGTGGTTGATTGGTGGTGATTGAGGCTTTATTTCTATTGATGATTAAGCGTTCACACGGAATTCTGCCTTGATGGTTTTGTTTATTTGAAAAAAGAATTCCGAGTATTCTAAGAGACTTCATCGATGTCTCTTATACTTTGTTTATTTATATACTCCAGTCAATATAGACCGATCAACACAATGTCGAAAAATTATTTTTTTCGAATGTCTATATAAATAAACCAAAACAATAGCACCGACACATTACCATCAAAGAGCATACATGAAAGAAATATTGAACCGAAATTAACCGTAATTAGTTCCGGTTTCGGTTTTTCAATTGAGCAATTTTACGTTCCGGTTACAGTTCGACTCTATGGTTACAATGTAAAAGTTATGAAATATCATAAAAGTTAACATTTTTTTCTTATTTGAATTAAAAGTTTTTGAATAAAACTATAGATCTTCTTTCCAAAATAAACTTAAGGGATTATTACAATTTCTAAATTTAAAGTTATCCTGAAAACATAAATTAAATAGTTTTTAGATAAAATTACATAATTACAGAATAATGATAATGTAAAATACGACTAGATTTGAATTATCACTATTTTTTTTTTGATATAATCGCATACAAAGTTATAAACGTTATAAAATAAAATAAAATTTAAGTATTTTTGAAAAATACTTACAGATATTTTTATTTAAATTAACAAAATTTATGATTTTCTTTCAGAAATTTCTTGAAAACGTGTTTAGTATTATTATTTAAATAATATTTAACAATTTTTAGATATTTTAATTCAAATAAATGAATGAAATATTCAACAAATTATATAAGAATTTTAGTTAAAATAAAATTATGTCAAATTTTTCACTAGACTTGTTCGAAAACTAAAAAATGTTTGTAAACTTCATTCATTCTATGACTAAATTATTAAATTCAATATATGATTAACTTCATTTTACAGATTTATCAAGTTTTTAATACTTACAATATTATTTTGTCAATTTTTCAAATTTGTTTTCATAAATATCGTAAATTAAAGAAAAAATCTACTAAATTCAATTTATTCTACATACATTCTTTCAATTTTATGATAAATTTTCTATTAATTTAAGTTAACTTTTAAAATTTTTATTTAGAAAAAAACCAAATGATTTCATCAATTTTTCAACACATTTTCACAAATATCATAAATTATTGACAAAATCTATAAACTTATTCAATTTACAACTTATTATTATTTATTTAAATCTCTTAAAATATAATTTGTTATTTCAATAAAAATAAGTAAAAGAATTACAAAAATTATTTTGTCAAAATTTTGTCAATTTTTTGAACAAATAAAATTCTGGTATTATTTGGAAACAAAATTTCCTATATATTTAAGTCAGTTCTCGAAATATTTAATAAAATGTAAACTTTGCAAGACTTTTAATTAAAATAAATCACATGCAAATATTAGTGTGAACCAATTTTTCTATGAGCTTAAATTCAATGAAATTTACATGTATTCATTTTTTTATGATTTCAATCAACTTAGCGTAATGTATAGTTTATTTGAAAATGTAAGAGAAATTTTCAACAATTTTATAAAAATATTATAAATTATCTAAAAAATGTTTTATATAAATCTCAAAAAATGCCATTACTTTCCTATTAATTAGATATTTTCATATTAACTTTCATAGGTGCTTTACTTGCTTATCGAGATTTACACGAAAATGTCATGGTCGATGTGTTCATGACTATAATAAGTTTGTAACGCTATAAATATCACAAAAAAAAACAAAATAATAACAAAACAAAAAAACTGTAATATTTAACTGAAATCATCTTACCTTCTTTACCTTAGTAGATTTTCTCATGTACAGAAGAGGTGCGGCGCGGTGTCTGTATGAATGTGGTCGGCAAGGTTGGAAATGAACGTCGAAACAGTGTATATAATATAAGTTATTTACTTTTTAGGGCACAGCTATATTTAACAATATACAGATACAATATTAGGATAATTCTATATACACAAGGTCTTTAAATTTTATGATACATGCGGATAAATTTATAGTACACAAACTTAAAGACAAACAAACAAAAAGAAAATGGAAAAAAAATAATATTAATTAAAAAAAAAACATCGAAGGTAGTTGTTTCATTCTCATATTATCAATATGTATATTATATATATATATATATATATATTATAAATCAGAATCCTGCCTCGTCTCCATTTTTATGTACACAAATTATAATCGTTTGCATTCACACTAAAAGAAATCAACAGTTGGCACTTCTTCTGCAAATAGATAGAGAAAAACAAAGAAAACAACAAAAGAAAATACCTCTGGTTGTTTTGTTGTTTCGTCGATGAAAATGAGAAAAGAAAATCTACGTCGACTGAACCTTTTTTTTCTGTTTTGTTCAAAAAAGCCTACACTTAATTTACTTAATTACAATATTTATTTTCTTTCCATTGTTTTTAAATGCTGCACGAGAGTGCAGAGAGTGTACGTTTTCGTGTGTTACAATAATAGCAATAATAATTTTTTTGTACAAAATTTCCATCTAATCAATTTGTACAATATATCGAGGATTTCTTTTCTCTTTATTTTTAATTAAATTATTAATTTCGGAGGAGAAGGGGTGTGTGTGTGTATATATATAATATGTATAATTTAGGTATTTACAAGTTCATTTGAGAAATTAAAAGTAGTTTAAATTAAAATCGAATTGCACAAAATCGTCTGCCTTTAGGAATTATTATTATTTTTTTGTAATGTTTGTTTGTTTTTTTTTAATATTAAATATATAATATATTTATTTGTTGTTTGCATTTCGAGGCGAAAGCGACAGAAATTTTCCCATTATTTTTTTTTGATTTGGCGCAAAGTTTAGCAATGATAATAAGTTTATTTCATAATAATATTATCATTGTAGACTTTTGCTTATTTACATCAGAGATTTTGCCTTAATCGGTAGTAATAATAATAATGTTATTATTATTATTATAGTAATTCATTTTTTGTTATTGTTTTGGAGCAGCTCCAATCCATGTTTTTTTTTCTTTATCCTAAACTCTTATAAAATTTACAATATATTCTTCATTTAATAATATTATTTGTGTGTGTTGTTGTTGTTCTTTTTCGTTTGTATTTATTTATAACTGGTTTTGTGTGGATTTTATTTTCGTCTGCGTGTGTGTTGTGTGTGTTTTTTTGTGTTGTGTTGTGTTAATTTTCCCTAGCCCTTTTGGCGAGGGCCTTTGCTAGCTACCACACTAGACCCTCGTTCAACTGCTGCGGGTTATCGGAGAAGTTTCCGGGCGACATGAATTCGGGACTTCCGCCTCTGACGGAGCCCTGCATCATCTGGTCTGGTGGTGGCTGCTGCAGGAAGGGCCCTTGGTCGCTCTGCATGCCGCCGAAATCGCCGCCCATGGGTAGAGGTCCATGATCCATGGGACCACCTGAAGACAACAACAAGAAAACGTTAGATGGTGTTGATTGAAATTGAGATTGAAGTGATGATTATTAAGAGAGAGTGAGAGTGTTTCTTTACCTGGTTGATTGAAGTTCATGGGTTGTCCGCCTGGTCCGCCTCCTGGATGTCCGGGGTGTCCTGGGAAGAAGGGGCTGTCGTGTGGATGGAACGGAGGTCCACCGTAGCCGAATTCGAACTTGCCGTCGGCGAAGTACGGGAAGCCGGGACCTTCCTCAAGACCGCCCGGTGACAGGTTTATTGGGAATCCTCGCATCTTGCGCGTTGACCCAAAGAATGGCCCACGGCCCATCGACGTCAGCTGCTTCAATCGGCGCTCCTTCGACCTTTTGTTTTGGAACCACACCTGCGAACAAGAACAACCAACAACGTAAATAAATAAAATCATTATAATTTGTTACATTTTTTTTATAAAAAACATCTCTTCCAATTCTCATCTTCTCACACGTAGCAACAACAAAAGCAATAGATTTATCCAATTTTATATGAAATTTCTTCCGATTGTATACTTAATTACCAAAACTTAAAGATTTTTGTTTTCATATGAAAAACTTTAATTCTTCACTAATTCTCATCATATTACATAGAAACTACAAAAACATTTTGTTTCTTCACCAAATATTTATAGATGTTCAATGAACTAAAGAGGTGAGACTACTTTTTCTGATAAAATAGCTTCAATATCTCACTAATTTTCATCATCTTACTCAGAAACTACAATATTATTTCATTTCCAAATACTTATAGATTTTCAATGAAGTGAGGTGAGACTAGATTTTCTGATAAAATAACTTCAATATTTCACTAATTTTCATCATCTTACACAGAAACTACAAACACATATTATTTCATTTTCAGTAGAGATGTGAAAACTAGTGTTTTTTTTAACAAAAGTTCTTTTATTCTTTCCATTAATAAAACTTACAATTTGAGTCTTCTCAAATATTACATTTCCAAATACATTTTTTTTTATAATTTAATTTAATTCTTTAGTTAAGATTTACAAATTGACGAAACGTTCATGAATAATGTCTACTGTTTAAAAATACTTTGTTTCCATTTAATTTCATTGAAATAATTAAAAAATGTATGAAAATTTGTATAAGAAAATATTAAAGTGTTTTTTTATTAAGAAAACTCTTCAATATTTTCATTATTAAACATATAAATTTGTTTCTTTAGTTAGAATCAACACATTATTAGATTTGTCTTATGCGAAGAAAGAGCTATGGGAATTTGAAAATGATCATAAAAATATGATTTATTTTTGAATGAATCGTTGTGCATATAAACTAAATACAGAGTATTGAGTTGTATTCATTCATTCAGTAATATTAAGACGCGATAAATTAGGGCCGTCCGGGGGTTTACGCAAGGCGTTTTTAATTATACACCCCGCGGCAAGGATTCCAAAATTAAATTTATATATAAAAGAGAAAAAAAAAATAAATATCACGCGTTTCTCTGTTTGCATTTCGGCCTTAATTGAGATTTATAAATTGGATAATTGCAGGTTTTAATTATTTGATAATATTAGAGGTTCCGAGCATTCTAAATGATCTTTCCTTAATGTCTCGTCAGAGAGATCATTATTTAGTTGTTAACTTTTATTATAGTCATCTCAATCCAAGATTTGTACGTATGTAATTTTCTCTTGACGTTAAGTGCGTAAAAAGTAAAAGTTTATTAAGTGATTCATTCTGTTGTTAATTATTATTAGTTCTAATTTTTCATTTTATAATTATTTTGTTTCACAAAGGTTAATCGTCAAAACTAGTTTTTAATGACAGCTGTCATCTTATGTCAAAGCGAGAAACTGGTGAAATACTCTTAACAATTGGGTTATGAAATGACAGCTGTCATCTTGTGTCAAAGTAAGAAACTGGTACAATAATATACAGAGTTGTGCAGAAAATATGTCGAGATACGCTGTATTAGTTGAACAATTTTAATGTAATTTTGTATATTATTTCATATATCAATTGCATATTAGTTGGTACATCTGAGAGAGAAGTCTCATATGATAGACAGTGTGTATGCAGCATTATATTGTTGGGAAAAGAAATTGAAGAGTAAATTGTATTTGAAAAGTTCGTTGTTTTTTTTTTGTGTGTGTGGTGGTCAAAGAGGACGGAGACGCCCATTCCTTCGTCCGTCGCGCATAAAGAGCTGAAGGAACATCATAGGTACAAAAATCTTAACACCTGAATATATAAAATATTTATAAAGTCGTAAAAGCCGTATTAAAAATAATATTTATATATGTGAAAAGCACCGCTGCTAGGTTTTACTGCGACTCTGATATGTTTATGACGGCCGACAAGTCTTCGTTCGGAACGGTTCCCTCCAGTCTTTTAATTCTCTGATATTCATGGTGATGGGGGCGCCCATTAAATAACACACACACCCATACTCGCATGAAAGACGGAAAGGACGAAATACGAGAGAAAAAAAATAAACCAGAAACAGAAAGAAAGAAACGCCGAAATCTCAGAAACGTCAATAAACGTGTTCTTTGAAAAATAATAGTCATTTTTACTGTGCGAGGAGACGGAGAAAGGATCAAAGTCGTATATTAACGTGATCTTCTTTTATTATTATTATTCATTTTTTTCCTCTACTTCGATTTATATATTTTTTTTTCCATCTAAATTATTGTTGGTTGCACATGTCGCGCGCAAAAATCCCTAATTCGCCGTATAATAAACCACCCGTCGAGGTTTTCACCCTAATTTCGAATTACTAGTTACATATATATATCTTCTTGGCTGTTTTTCGTATGGGGGGCGGTGGCGGTTTTTGGCAACAGTTTAACGGGGACCCCTCGTGGAGTACCACCAAAGTCCCCCGGCGTCCGAAGGAAGAAAGGAAAAAAAAATGTTGTGGGCGGATCGGGCCTTATGTTACCATTATGTCCCTGCAGTGAACAGAAAGAAACGACCCCGGGTCGACTAGGGTAAAGAGGAGAGAGTAGAGAAAAAAAAAGGAACGGAAAGAATGAAGGGAAAATATGACAAATAGCGGTCTATTTCGGGAACATTTGTTCACTTTTTGTTGGTTTTTATTGTTATTGCACGTCAGGGGATTCGAATTCGATTGCCATCAGTTCTCCTCTTGTTACCGATGCAATGCACTACATCAATTTGGATCAATTGGTTCGATTACTTCTCAATAACAGAGTTTGGAGAATCGTACCAATATGCTTGCACCCTATATTCCAAATTCCAATTCTTACAAAATATTCATGAAAACTTTTTATAATTTCTAAACATTACTTCAAACTCATTAAATCAAAGATTTTATTTACTAATAGCAAATTTCAAATTTTAACAAAATACCATTTTTTTTTTAATTATTAAATTTTTTTACGTGAATTATTTCAAGTTTTTAAGAAGAAACCAAAAATCAAATCTTTATGGTAAATTCAGTAGATTTCAGAGATTTATGTTAACATTATTTTAAGCTTATTATAATTAAAGATTCAATATTTTTCGTAATTAAAAATTAGAAAGAAAACTTCCAAAATCAATTAATAAATTATCATAATACCAACTCAACAAAATAAAACAAATTGATAGGTATTTCTGACCTAAATTTTTATAATTATTTAAAAACCAAATATAATCAATCCTTTAAGGTGAATCAAGTAAATATGAATTTTGTGTGAAAAGTTTACGAGTTGAGCAAATTTTTAAGAAAGTTTAGTATTTTTCGTTACCTATAGTGTGTATGATGTGCGACGCAGATTGAAATGAAAATTGACTTGACGATTCATGATGTGACGTTGACGTTTCATGATGTGACGTTGACGTTTCATGACGTGACGTTTGCGATAAAATTACTTTTTATTTTTTAAAAAATTGAAAAAAAACTATTAATAATTTTTATAATAATTAGTCTTTGAAGCTGAAAAATTATACAATGTAAAAGAGTATTAGAAATCAATGTAGTTTATTGATGTGGATTGAAATAAAAATTGACGATATTGACGTTTTGTCAAATTCTTAAAAAAAACAAGAGAATGATTCCAATTGGATTAATTTAGTGAATAGATTTGAAAATAATGTCCCAATTTTTGTGATCAACGAAACTTAATTAAAAAAAAAGCTTAACGAGAGTAAACTTTATTTCTATTGCGTTTCTTTCATTCATCGTCCGTTCTTTCCATCTCTTTTTAATGCCGGTATGGCACTGAAACATCAATAATAACCTTGTGTTTTGCACCGGAGGTATAGTGAACACAGTTAGAGAGAAAGAGAGAAGGGAAGAGAGAGTGTGTGTGTGTGTATTAACTGTTTTCGGTTTTGGAGTCTACACCACCTGACACATGGGCAGGGGGTGATCGGATCGCTTGAAGCGAACTTGCGGGGTGCACGCCGTATGTCGGACGCACAAAGGGCCGTTCGGGCGCCCCGCTGCCACCCGCAGGGGGGGAAATCCCCCCGGCCGCACATACCTAGACCCTCACGGATTCGTTCGAAGAGAGGAGCTCAAAAAAAAAAAATCCCATGATCCTTAATTAGTTCCGAAATTTTCACCCATCAATTTAAATATTTATAAACTTTGGAACGGCTTAATTAATCGATCTGGGAGGAAATGCACATAGGATTGGTCTAATGATGTAAGGAGAATAAAATAAGAAGTGGAAGAAGACGGGGTGAGATATTAAGAAGTTAATTAAGCCGAAACGCGGATCATTAATAATTCCTCTAAAAACCGTGGTCTCTTTGTGGTCGCGTCGTCGACGAAGAGGAACCGAGTCTCCAAGTCTCGGACTAATTAGACCACCGGCACTTGTCGAAAGCTGGTCTACAAATAGCGCGCCGGATGATGAATACGCATAATAATTACGAAAATTGCGACCGTTTCGTTGCTTTCCTTTTCCACTATACACATTCCCTTTTCGCATCCCGTTTTCGATGCTCCGGCGTGCCTCTTTCGCCTCGGATCTGATTTGAAGGAGATTTCGAGCGCGTCCAGGCAAACGTAAGCAAATGCGAATGGAAATTGAGCGGAACCTGCGAGGTGTGGTCTCATATGTTACACACACTCTCCGTGTCCATACCTCGGAATAAAATGCTGGAACGGTACGAAAATAAAATGCGCACACACACTCATACACTTAAACTCATATTCACACTTATACTTATACACTTGTGTAGCGTGGCATAACTCAACGAAACGCGAGCGAGGCTCCCCCTTTATTTATTACCGTGGGAGGAAGGAAAAAGGAGAGACTTCTTTCGCGTGAATCAAAGCAAAAAGAAACAAAATATCGAAATACATACACGAAATGCAACGGTTTTTGGTTTCTTTCTTCCTCTCACATTTTGTCTCGCACGGATTTTTTGTTTTCTTTTTAAGGACCTCGCAAATGTTTGATGCAGGTTTCGGCTATAAACGCAAATTTTCTTCCACGAAACCCATTCTTCTCAGAAATCATAACATATTTTGACATAAATTATCAGAAAGTCAGTGAGATTTATATAGATTTTAGAAAATTTTACATATTTAACAAAAAGTTTTTTTAATAATTTTTCAGTGATTTTAATATGAAAATCAAACACATAAACAAAAAACTTTTAAAGTTTAAATGAGATTTAAAAATTAACTCAAATTGGAAATAAATTTCTTATGTAATTATATATTGATTTAATAATTTGTATTATAAATAATTTTGTTAATTATAAAATTTCGAACAACATGTTTTTCGCTGAACAAAAATTGTATAAGTTTCGCAAATGCTGAGATCATTCCTAATAAGTCAAATCGTTGCGAAAATGATGATTTAAACTGGAATTAAAAAAAAACGATAGAACTTCCTTTAAATTATATACAGAAATCAACAATTTAGCAAATTTAAGTACAAATGAAATTAAGTTTGATTTAAGTATGTAATCTCATCTAATTTTTATATTTGTAAAATAATTACTTTAATTTAAAATTTTTGTCATGGTAAAATTGAAATTTATTCAAAAATAGTAAAATGCCATTGAGGAAATTACTAACATTATTATAGTTTGCAAGAAGTTTAATGTCATTGGGTAAATTGCTAAAATTATAGTTAATAGTTGATACACATTTATAATTAGTATTAATTGAAGTATTTTAGATCGTGATATTTTTTTGTAAAATTGATTGAATCTATCATTAGTAATGAATGAGGTATTTAGTTATACTTCTGAGATTATTTTCTTAATGTTTTTTGTATGAATGATTGCAAATTTCAAATGGATATTATGTTTCGTTTGGTAACCAAATTGGTAACAGCTTGTTTGCGCTGATTAAAATTGAATATTCCCGTAATTACTGAGACCGTCATCATCATCATCATCATCATCAACCAATGTGCATAATTGCAGACAGTTATCTATTTGGCAGCGTTAAAAAAACCGCCGGTTTTATGTCTCAACTCGTTGCGAGCGATGATTTAATTGGATTTTAAAACGATAATAGTTTAAACACACCGAAAGATACACCATAAATTGGAGGCAATTTCGATAACGGTTCGAGCATATAATCGATTATCTAATTACGTTCTTTCTCAGTGCAAAAGCATAATCAGTTTGAGTCTACATCGAAATACCGACAACCATAATCCCAACTGTGTCAAAATCCCAACATTGAAAATCCCGACAATATCTTTTAGTATTTGATGTATACATAAAACAAATGTATTTATAAAAAAATCGTCAATATCAAATAATACTGTTGGGATATTCACTGTCGGGATTATGGTTGTTGGGATTAAGCTAAAATAGTTGTTTTTTTTCCTTGTATAGATGTGATTGTTTGACTTACTTGTATCACCCTCATGGGAAGTCCCGTTTCCTTGGCGAGTTGCTCTCTGATGTGCCTGGTGGGTTTGGGCGTCTGCGAGAAGGCGGTCTTGAGGATCTCCAGCTGTTTCGCTTTGATGGTCGTCCTGGGTCCCCGACGCTTCGAACCTGCACCGTTATCATCAGGACTTTTATTTTCAGCTTGCGAATCGCGCGTTTCGGGATCACCGTCTAACGAGTTCTGGTCCTCCGAGTCGTCCTGACCCGTTTTCGAATCCTGCACACGAAGAACAACACACGAATTAGTACAATCCTTTCGTCGCTCTTGAACTAAGAGGATGTTGTTGTTGTTGTTAATGATGCTGGTAATTTACCTGTCCTATCGAGCTGCCGATGTCCGAATGGGAGAGGGAATTGTTGTTGGTCTCTCCTGGCGCCGGTTGCAGCGACCCATGGAGCGGATGGTGCTTCAGGACCGAGGATGCTGTGCTGTTGTCGTCGTCGTCCTCATCCTCCGACGCGGAACCGAGCAGAGAGTCTGCAAACACACAATCTATCAATCTCAATTAGCTCCTCTTCGCGGTTATTTACGGCCTAATCCCATTTACCGCGCCAGGTAATGCGCTAATGATTATTGCTCCGACACCTATGGAACATTAGCTCCAGTCATTATGCACCCATCGAATCATTACTATACATCTTTCTCTTTTTTCCCATTAACAACTACGCTTCTTCATCCTCTCATACTTTTATTTTTTCTTTCTTTCTTTCTTCTTCCCCGAGACCATAAAAAAGGCGAATCCATCGTCATTAACATAATTTTATATCTATTAAAATCGCTTCATAAACACGACATTAGCGTCAGATCGGATTACCGTCGAAAAGACCGCATTTTATTGAAACATTACCGTTCCACGACATCTCGCAGGTACGAATTCAATATCATCAAAATATTCGCATCTCAAAATCCAATAATATAAAACTTCACAAAATCCATTAAGATTACAACATGTTAAAGTAATCAAAATAAGTCGAAATATTTTCAAGTAAATTTAATTTGTTTTTTTTAAATTATTAACGTGAAGAAACAAATTCATTTATTGATAAAAAAAAAAGTTCACTAATATCAGCCAATAAATAAACTATAAGTTAATGCAACAAGTTATGAAGTAATATTGTTTTTTTTTATAAGATTTATGAATGAAATAAACAAATTTGATGACAGATGGCGCTTCAAAGATAAGCTTATGGTTTGATGAAATTACCGATTTGTTCAAAGTTGGGAACGTGCTGGAATTGCTATGAGAGGATACTTTGACATGTGACTTTTTAGTTGTTGTGGGATGATTGTGCTTTAGAGTTAGGCTCGACGGAGCCGGTCTCCGGTAATTGCGTAATTGGTAGTTGGCCGGAGGACGTCGGAAGGACGGGAAAGGAATGTAATTGTCGTATGTCCACGGGAAAAAGAAATTGCGAGAAGGACGTAATGGTCGTTCTTCTACTGTGTTTATGCGGCTCGAGTCGATCGCGATGTGATTATATAATAAATATATATATATATATAGAGAGAGAGATACGCATGTGCTTACGCTCATATCGTACAATTAAGTGTGATTTTGTGTGCGCCACACTAAATTCTAGGTAATTTCATCCTCTGAACCCCTTCTGATGATACTTAATGGCCGATAGATAATTATTTTCTGGACGTGCATCCATCCGCAGCATCGAAGAAACCTCTCTCATCCTCGTACCTCTCTCTACCTATTCGGAGGGAGGTGAATCCTCGGGAGATTGCAAATAATTAGCGGATCCGCGCGGATCGGAGGAGCGAAATCGAGGCAAATAAAAGAGCACCACCATTGATCCTTAATAATATAACAATATGCTCCGTTGTCGTCTTCTTATAGTGAGTGAGAGTAAGAAAGAGAAGATGATGCGCCCCTTCGTAATCTATCAGCACCGGACTTTTCGTTGTTGCCCATTATTAGTTTTGTTCTTGTTCTCCTTAGTCTTCTCCACTCTCTCTCCTTTTTGTTCTTTCGGGTGAGCGAGTGTCTTATGTGTGTGTTGCATCTTCTTGGGTCAACCAATTACCTCGATGTGGGACCGCATGAGGTCCGGTACTGCGAACCCCAATTAGTACCCGACCCGCTGGGAAACAAGCCATTATCATCCATGCCGTGCCCGTTCCTTTCATATACACCCAAACACCAACTTCACACTAACAATACCAACATAGCTATATAACTTTCCTTCTACTCCTTCTTCATCCTTTCCATGTCTTCTTTTTTTTTAATGCTTGTTCTTTCCTTCGCTCATTGTTCTCCCACCGATCGAACACAAATCATTGTTTGTTTTTTTTTTTTTGCGAAATTCGCATCAAAATATATCTTTTTTTTCTCTCGATCGAACCCATCCGACCCATAACTCAAATCTTTCCACAACAACACTCTCCGAATCGCACACATCATCCAAACCCAATTATATAAACATAAATTTCATTCTTCACAAACAAATAATATCAATATCGTAAATTTATTTCATTTTAATCAAAATTATTCTTACATATTTCACATAAGATAAACCCAATTTTGATTCAATACTAATATTAATGATTTACACATAAAACAAGGAGTAATTGATGAAACTTCAGAAGAAATTTGGTAAAATCTAAGTAAAATAGTTTTCATTAAACTAAATTATGAAGAAGAAATATTGTCATTTGAAAAATATAGTTTTTTGTCAAGAATTATCTGAAAATTGGTAATTAAGTGCCTAAAGAATGTAAGAAATTATTGAGTTTTGTAAATTTGTTAAAATGTAAGTAAAATGGTTTTCATTAAACTAAATTATGAAGAAGAAATATTGTCATTTGAAAAATATAGTTTTATGTCAATATTTTATTCAAATGTTTTTAGATTTTGACAAATTTTTGATAATTTTTGTTTATAAAATTTAAATTTAAGAATTATCTGAAAATTGGAAATATATATATATGTTCAAAAATAAGCTTAGTTTACAATTTATAGTTAAAATCTTGAGATGAGATTTGCTCTTAATAAAGAAATATAAGTAATTAGTCTAAGTTAGGGCCAATACAACATTTGTAAATTAAATGAAATGAACATGAAAATTGACTTTCTAATAGTTTTTCTATATATAATTTTTGAATATTTAAGTTAAATTAACGTTTGATGTTGTTGATTTGAGTAATTCAAACAGTCTTTGTTGAATTTGATTAATTTGCTTGTTGTAAATTGTCTTCCAGTTTCTGGATAATGCGATTCCCTTTATGGAAGAAGAATTATAGAAGGTTGGTCCAAATATCATCGAAGCGCGACCCATTCATAACCATAAGAACCATATGGGCGCACAGAGCATAATTGATTCCCATTGTTCGCAATCAATTTGCCACAAGTTGCTGGCTGCACATGCCCTTCACCTCCAAACGCCGTGGGACGTTTCACGATTTCCATAAGCATCCGCAAAAACGTTATTTATTAATGCGCTTCGACGAAGGCGTCCCTTCATTTTTCCTCCACTTCTAAGCCGATCCTTCAAGAAACGATGCTTTAAGATGCAAATGCTTCAAGATGAATGAAAGCTTAAGCCAATCCCATTTCCAAAATGTTTACAATCAAAAAAGATGTATTTTATAAAAAATTAAATTTTTTTTTTGTTTGGAACGTGCACCTTGGTGGAGGAGTTCTGACTGCGTCCGTTTCTCAGCTGCTGGAGTTGACTTTGATTGACGGACACTTTTCGGCCTTTGGCCCCTCGCGAGACGTCGTCCCTTTTCCAAATCAACTCTTCAATTCGACTTGAACTTCTCTTCGTTTCGTTTTTTATTTTTAACTTTTTTTTTCTCTCTTCCTCGAAACGTTATTCAAATTAATTTCCCCGCGAGAGGAAACAAAGAACCGTTCGTAAGAAACGATGAAGAAGGTGCGCGCCCACGCGCCAATTGCTCGAAGGGATATCGAAGGCCGTCGCGAAGAGCGAAAACAGAACGAGAAAAACAAAAAAAAAAAACTTTTCTAATTTATTACGTCCGACTTCGTTATCATCGTCGGAGGGGCGCACAAGAAATCCTCGTTCTCGTCTATTTCGGTCTTCGGGAATACAAGAAGAGGAAAGAATAATCAAAAGAGAGAAGAGATGATGTTGGAAAAAAAAACGAAGGCAGCTTATGCATATTCAATTAGGTCGCCGTTCATCAATCACAATTTGATGTTCGCGGTTTGAGTTATTCCTAATTTATGCAACATCTTGTACGGACTCTTTTTTTTTTCATTTGAGTTTATTTTTTTTGTGTGTGCATCCTGCGAGGTGCGGACGTTGCCGGCGTCTGGGAGCGTTGAAAACGGATGTTTCGAGGACCCTTGAACCTTTCGGCGACGAGTGTTTGCAAGGAACATTAGTCGAGTGCTGTTTGCACGAGTTATAATAATAGAAATATATACGCGGGTTGACTTCCGAAAAGGGCGCTTTCGCGCAGACCCTCAATGTTTATTTAACGTTTTCCTCATCATTTCACAACTTCCCATAGGAAGTAAATCGATGTGATCCTCACTTTTATTGAAATAGTTTTTTTGTTACATTTCTTCATCTTTCTCTAGAAAAATCTATATAAAATTGAAGATAGAAATATACATTTCTTGCTATAAAATTTCATCGAAAATCAATACAAAATCTATTGCTTTTTTAATAAAAGTTAAATTTTATTTGTTTACATGCAATTTTTTAATATTTTTCAAAAATTCTCATGAAAAATCATTTACTAATTTTTTTCAAATTAATTAAAAATTAGGCAAAAAATGTTCAATTAGTTAAATTTTTGTTTATGAATGAAATATTAAGTAAATTTAGTCATAAAATGAAAAAAAATGTAGATATGAAAATTCTAGTAAAAATTTAAAGAAATTAAATTAAAAGTTTTAATATCAATTTGTTTTTGAAAAATGTATGAAAATTGATTAATTGAGCAAATGTATAAAATGGTTCTCTTCAAATAAGAAAATTGATAAATTAGTTTGAAAACTAAGAGCTTTGAAGATTTAAAGAAATCGATGTGATCCTTTTATTGAAATAGTTTTATTGTTACATTTCTATATCTTTCTCTAGAAACATCTGTATAAAATTGAAGATAGAAATATTCATTTTTTACTGTAAAATTTCATCGAAAATCAATACATAATCTGTTGCTTTTCTTAATAAAAGTTAAATTTTCCTTGTTTTCATGCAATTTGTTAATATTTTTCAAAGACTTTTGTCGTAATTTATCAAAAATTCTCATGAAAAATCATTTACTAATTTTTTGAATTAAGTAATTTTGATTAATATAGACATCAAAGTAATTAAAAATTGGGCAAAATTAGTTAAATTTTTGTTTATTAATGAAATATTAAGTAAATTTAGTCATAAAATGAAAAAAATTGTAGATATGAAAATTCTAGTAAAAATTTAAAGAAATTAAATTAAAAGTTTTAATATCAATTTGTTTTTGAAAAATGTATGAAAAAATAGAAACAAATAAGA